GGAAAGAGTCACCTGAAGTAATCTCTTCTCCAGCGCTCCTCAAATGTCTTACATATTCATGTCCCTGCCTCTTGTTCACATTCTCCATGGTATGCATCCCCCAACCCACACTAAGATTGAGATTCTAAAGAGACTTAAAATCTCACACAACAACCAGGGTGTCCATCAGTAGGGAAATAGTTAGAGATTAAGAGAAATGATTAAAGAGCTATCCATATTATAGAATAATACGCAGCCAAGGAAAAAGATTAAGCAGATCTGTAAGGGCTGCATGGAAGATATTTGCGATACACTGTTGAGAAAAAGTTGCAGAATCTTACAAAACAAAAGTTCAATCCCACTTTTGTTTATTAAAGTCTTTGATCGTAATATAGAAGTATATACTGTAAATTGCCAATAGTGCCCCCTCCCCCTTAGTAGAAGTGAGAGAGGGGAGAATAAGTGGATAGGAGAGTCTCACTTCTTATTTTCAATGCTTGGGTTCTATTTGAATTATTTTCAACAAACAAGAACAAAAGTTTCATTTTTTTTTTAATTTTAAAAAACATGTACACATTCACCCACTCCAAAAGAAACTTCCTTCTTTATTTCTTGAACTTTGAATCCTATCTTCTGAGAGATTCAGTACATCTTTCCATCACAGCCTCCAAAGAATCTTCTTCTGCCTCATAAACTGGACTGCACAGAGGATCAAGAGAGAGTCCAAAATGTGGCCATTGACGGACTTGAGACAAATCACTGTCTATGCCTTAGTGAACCTTGATATGAGATTGAGAACATAATTCCTTCTCCTTAGTTTATATAATACGAATTATATAATGCTGCAACAAACTTGGGCTGAAAAAGGAACACCCTGCAAAAATAGCACTAGTAATAAGCCAGTTGCATTGATCATCCAGCATAACTGACTTGTGCTGGGTTGCAGGTTCTGGAGCGTGAAGAGGCTTTGATAAAATTACAAGCAGACTTTACTTCCTATACAACCACCCACCGACATCCCCCTAGCTCCTCAGAAGATCGTGAAGACATCAAAAAGGTGGGAGAACTTTTGCTTATGTGTGCCTGGTAGGATTGGGCCGAGTTGGGTTTGATTCTGGGTTCTCCTATTGTTAAAATTTTTATACTACATTTTATATTTTATTTTATATTTGTGTCACGTTGGTTAGCCTTGCCACAGGATAGTGTATATAATGTATGCCAAGCCCCCAAGGAGTGTGTCTGGCATGATGAGATTTTGGAATTGAATTTTGGAATTGCACCTGTCTCTTAACTCACATCCAATGGTACATCTAAACAAGACAGAGGCTCCTTTTGGCTTGCTAGCTTCAAAAGAACCATCCAGCCTTCTAGTTTCTGGCTGGAGTTGAAAAGCAACATATTTAGGGAAGATTATTCATTCAAATCCACTCCCTTTTAAAAAAACTCTTATGTTTTCAAAATTCAAAGCCATCTCAAAAGTTGATTCTAATAATGAATAAGCATTTAAACCATGTAAACAAGTGGCACGATTTGACCAACAAATATGACAGTGAAAACTAGGTTAGGGTCCCTTCTAGGAGGTCTAAAGTCAGTCACGCCTGAACTCGAGGTACAAGGCAAAGCCAGCCACACAAGGCCATGCTGATGCTGAAATACTGGCAAAGCGGAGTGGCAGAGAGAGTCAACACATCAGCTCTCCAAGGGATCCTCTAGTTGGGGAGTGGAGATGCTTCTTTTTCCAGGACTTTCTGATCCCACAAGGTTTGGATGAACTTTGGAGCTCTTCCTTGTACATCTGTCAATATTTATTTTAAAAGTCAGTCCCATGTTATTCACATCCTGACCTACAGCAAGATCTCATACACTCCATGTTTGTTTTCTTTTTGTCTGAGAAATGTCTTTATTTCTCCCTCACTTTTTAATTTTTTATAGTGGTAAAATACACATAACATTAAATTGACCATCTTAACCATTTTTAAGTGTACAGTTAGTTGTGTTAAGTATATTCTCATTGTTGTGCAATAAATCTCTAGAACTTTTTCATCTTGCAAAACTGAAACTGTATCTACTAAACACAAATTCTTCTTTAACTCTCCATTTTTTTAAATGATACAGACTTCCTCAAGAAACAGAATCCACTTTCACCCACCATTTTGTATATCCTACCCAAAGCCTTCACATTATGTGAACATTCTATTCGGACTAGAACTACCCACATCACAGTTAATGCCAGCCGTCCTCTCCTCCCTCAGCTGGCCTGGCGCACACTGGGCCTTTGAGTCGCTGTAGGGCCCACACCCAGGTCAGACGGTGATTGCCCTGCATTTCTCCAGCTGTCCCCCTCTGTCTTCATGCTGCAACCCTCCTTCACTGTCAACTGTGAAATCACATAACTATCTCCCCAGCATCCCCTGATGCCCAGACAACTAATTGTTCCTCCTTGGCCACATGTACATGTTCCTTCCTGCCTTCTCTGGTTACAGCCCCTTCCCCTCTCCTTCAGGGTAGAAGCCAAAGTTCCTGC